AAACTTTGGATTTATTATATTAAGTTATGAATTTTGTGTATGAAGCTGTGATTTTAGGTTTTAAGCTGTGAATTGACTGCATTAAACTGTGGATTTTTCTACTTAAACTGTGAATTGACTTTATTAAGCTGTGGATTTTGTATATTAAACTGTGATTTTTATGTTATAAATTATTACTTGATTACATTAGGCTGTAAATTCTCTATTTATATAGTGAATTAATTGTGAAGTTTTTAAACAAATTATGTTAAATTATGAATGATTTATATATGAATGTTTGTATTTATATACTGTTAATATATTTTTTTTGTTGTATAAATATGTAACTAAAGTATTAGTTTTTATAATTGTTTTATATTAAACTCTGAATAAGTTAATTAATTAGTTTATTGAATTGTGAATATAATGTTTAAGCTATCAATCAATGTTTTTAGATTTGATTTGGAACGAATGATGATTGCGACGATCACACGGGTGGTTGGTGGTGATGTGTGGTAGTCGGTCATGATGGTGGTGGGAGAGTTTTAGTTTGACTTTCTTTAAATATGTGACTTAATATACAATGTATTGTATTATGTTATCTTGTGAATTTTATCTATCAAACTTAAAATGGACTATGAATATTGTATTTTAAATTGTGAAAATTTCTTATACATGATACATATATTTTTAAAGAAATCTAAAATTAAAAAAAAATTGATTTTTTCGAGCATAATTCTATTTTTTTTACTAAAATTTTATATATTTTGGCTGAAAAAAAAAGTATTACCAAAGAAATATGAACTATAATGTTTTTTCTATTAAGCTGTGAATACGATCAGAAAACTGCTACTAAATTTAATGTTAGTTCGACGGCGATGCTGGTCCGATGCCAGTCCGACAACAAGTACCAAGTAGTTTCTAAAATAAGGAACGAAAAGATTTCTTAATAGTTAATCAATATAAATGATGGATTTGTCCAAAATGTCATTGATGAAAACATTTAAAAAATGGTTTTTAACCATTTTGTTCTCATTTGAATTTCTCTCTCTCTCACTCTCTCTCTCTCTCTCTCTCTCTCTCTCTATATATATATATATATATATATATATATATATATATATATATATATATATATATACTAGGTTAAAACCCGTGTGATACACGGATTGACAAATTAAAATACCAAAACTAATACATAATAGGTGGTTTGCAAAAAAAAAAAAAAAAAAAAAGCAACAATATTCAAATCTATCTAGATGTCATGCTATAATTTGGTAATTTTTCAAAATACAATGTTAAAACAGAAAGAAATAAAAGTTTGATGCTATAATAAATAAATCAACAAAAATACGTTGTCATTTCTTGTTAATTATATAATGTCTTGATAAGAAAAATAATAATAAGAAAAATTATGATTCAATTTGAGTCTTAAGGAAGCCATGACTAAATAACTTGAAACCTAAAAAGATGCAACAAACTTTAACAACCCACTCTTAAATGCATAGCACCAACCAACACTTTAACAATGAAACTCACTGGGAATTAGGAAGCAATCACCACAAATTGAATGTGAGACACGTGTATTATACGCGTCGATTAAAACAAAAATTATATATGATGGTGTAAATATTAAACATTTTTAAAATAAAATTTAAAAAAAAATACAAACGAAATGACAAATAAATAAATAATTCATTGTAGGAAACCTAACTATTAAAATTGATATATGAAACCTAACGACACTTTTTTAACCAAATGTCTGTTAAATATATTTTTTTTAAAGAACTCTTAAATGTACCCCATATCTTCTTAAAAGATATAATTTGTAGATAAATATAATAGTTAAAATCTCTTTGATACGTTTATGTGGATTACAATCACAAACTCGTACACAACCAAACATACTTTGACAAAGGCATCCCAATTACAACAATGTTCTTGGAAAGTACATTTACAATTTTATAGTTAACAACTTAAACATAAGAAGTTTCTCCATATAAATAAAAGAGTACAATACTACGACTAAGAAGTTAATATTATTAAAATGTACAAATAACTTTATAATGAAAAACTAAAACATAAGCACATAGTACCGGTCTTTTGTCTGCACACTAAACTGAAATCAAGTTGAAGCGTAAATTTTAAAAACGAAAACGCTCACATGTGAATATTTTAGAAGAAGGGATTTAAAAAAAAACATGGTTATATGCAAGGAATAACAATGTACTTCTCATTCTCCCCCTTTATTATAGAATCATACTTTCTCATTGCCCTTTACAAAATTGGCTAAAAGTTCAAGAAACTTGATTGAATAAGAAAATATGTAACTTTCTTTTTGTGTAACATTTTTATCCCAGTTTTTTTTACAGGAATGGTCCTTGATACTTATTTGTTGAAAGCAAAAAAAATTAATATCAAATTTTAGTACAGAACAATACGCAGGAACTTTGAGCATGTACACAAGAAAGCACAAAGATGAAATGGAACTAAAAAAAACTGAGCCCTTCAATGAACTAACTTTAAATGTTCGCTTCTTAACCCTAAGCAAGTTGAATGACAGTGATTTTTATAACAAAATCCTGCAATATGAAAATGAAAAATTTTAAACTCAGTATCCTTACCCAATGAATGCAAAACAAAAAGCTTCTAAGCTTCTCATGTTTTAGTCTCAAGTATCCTGAATAAATGTCAAAACAAAGATTCTGGTACAATCTAACTTCCTTGAATTGGTTATATACAACATCACATGCAATACACATGTATGTAGATGAAAATGAGATGAAGGGCAGGTTTGTCAAGCACCGGTTACTGGCCAAGATCAAGAGTAGTATCTCGCTAATAGAACTTGATATTTTAGTTCCTCAAGAATGTAGTCTAAAGGAGTTGTTGAAAAAGGGCGATAATTTGGTCTTGAGAGTCGAATCAAATGAGAAATCTCCAAAACGTTATTAATGAAAAGATTTTTGGCACCTAAAATTAAAATTAAAACTTATTTCCATATTTTCCATATAGAATATAGTGGGACGAAATCATTTTTGGTTTCTCTTGATTGAGCAAAAAGACTAAACATAGGAATTCACAAATGGAAGGTTACAACACTTCGGAAAGAAAGAAAAACTATTAAAAGCCAGAAGTGAAAGAAATTGTAAGAGGGGTATTGGTACAATGTCCCCATAGAAAGAATTCAAGAAAAACTTACATTTGTTACATAAAGTCGTGAAACAACACTTGTTGTGTGAACAACATCTTTCATCACTTCTTTGCACAAAGGGCAATGAAGTTATGGCGGGGGAACATCAGTAGTATGTGACTACATGTAGAAGGCGTTCCATCCTTCTTCTGAAAAGCCGCCTATTGTAAAATTATTACACACAAAAATATTAGTTAATTTATAAACACAACATTGTTAAATTCAAGCAAACAAATAAACGTACTCATTCGACTTCAGAACTGCCACTTCCCAACTTGGCCATTGGGTTTTACATATGTGGCAAAGATATTTTCCAAATTTATATTTTCTATTCAGTTAGATTTTTCTTCTTCTTTATCCTCAATAGTAATCTCCTCTCCTATATATTTTTTGAGGCCTCTCTGGATCAGATCTTAATCCAGTGCAATTTAATTGATGACCTCAAGGTTATATGACTTATATCGGTCAAAGATCACCTAAAACTACCACATACATTAAAAATGATTATTAATTTCTTACTTTCGATAAGGATTTAGGCTAAAAGTCCAACAAAAGTCAATTAGCACGAAACCATGAAACCCACAGTGGCATTAAATCAAACACGTTGTGGGTAGAATCCAAATCAAGAAATTAAACCAAATGTTAGACACAGACACATAAGAAAAAACAAACAAACAAACAGAAAACAATTATAGTATTCGATCAAACCAGATAATCAAACTTAGAATATTTTTGAAATCAATGGTGATAACTTATTTGTATTTGAGGGTTGGAACAAACATTTCAAGTTAGACTCATCAAGAACAAAACAATGGAAGAACAACAAAGTTTAAATCCACAGGAAGAGTATAATAATCCCAGAAACCTCCATCTTTGTCAAGAAAAAAAAAATCTTAAACACGTGTGTTAGGGTTATAAAGCTTCATCCGTGTAGAAAAAACATGATTTCATAAATTCCTCGTTCTATTGTAAGCTATCATTGGTCTCGAAAGAAAGGTGGAGAGAAATCAAAGGTTTTATCCGATCAGACGAAGGATTTTGGCATTTAAAATTCGTTTCCAAAACTAAGAAGGCGAAACCGAAGGAGATACAGGCGTGATTTTTGGCTTTAAGGGCAAATATGAAATTTCACTTTGATGTTTTGAGCGGGAAAATTAGCTTGGGAGGGGCTTAGCAATTGCAATCTACTTATTTATTAGATTAGGGATATATATATATATATATATATATATATATATATATATATATATATATATATATATATATATATATATATATATATATATATATATATATATAATAAAAGAACTTCAGAAATAGTCCTACCTTAGTGAAATGACTAAAATATTCTTAAGTTAACATACAAAATTTGACGAAGTGAAAAATAATAACCTTTTATTAAAAAATATGAAACCACGGAGACCTCCATGAGATTTTATTTTAACTTAAGGACTATACCTTAGATTTTAAAGAAACATAACATACAATTTAGACAAAATTGCAAGAATGGTTCTTGTGGTTATGTCGAAATTGCCACTTTGAGCCAAACAGGTTTGGACTAGCACTCATGATCCAAAGATTTTCATTTTCTTGCCACTTTGGTTCAATTTACTTTAATTTTTTTTAATAATAACCATTTTGCCCTTTCTTTTTATTTTTTCAGTTTTTTTTTATTATTTATTCAAATGCTTTTATCAAAAGAAAAAGAAAAAAGAAAATAGATTTCTCTCCTCTCTCTCTCTCTCTCTCTCTCCCCCTTATGGTAGACCACCACCATCGCTACTAAATCTACCCAACACTTCGTCTGCTTCACACATCTTCATCCTCTATGAAGATCTCATCCAGATCATTCCTCAGTCCAGCCAGGGTTGGGGCTGCTCATGACCCACCACCGCTTTTCCTCTCAAACTCACACAACCATAGGCTCAGAAATAGTCGTAGCATCAAAGGCGGCGCGTCTCCCGTAATGTTCCCTACCATCGGTAAAAAAAAGAGGAAGCAGTTTCGAAAACCCAAAACCGTCTTCCCCTAAAGTTACCTGCATTTGTCAGGTTAGGATGAAGAGCAAGAAGAAGCACACGAAAAATCTGAGTTTATCAAGACGACAGAGCACCGACGAAGTTAGTTTCAGGAGATTCGAGCATTCCGGTAATGGGTTCGGTAGTCAAAGTCAAAATCTTGGTTCTAATCAAGAGTGTTTACCATTGCAGAGGAATAATCAGAGATGGGTTCATTTACCATTGACGATTTGTGAAGGTTTAAGAGCGTTTGGGTCTGAGGTAAGCTGTTTGTTTCCTTACCGGTCTTCGTGTTCTTCAATGACGGGGATAGAGAAAGAGGAAAAAATGGTTGGCGAAAATAGACATGGGTCTTATGGTGCGGTGTTTGCACGGTGGTTGGTGGCATTGTAGGGAGGTGATGGAAGTGGAAGAGATGCCAATGGTGGTGAGAGAGTGGTTGAGTTAATCGCCGGAGACTATAATGATGAGAATGAGGAAATTAATGAGATGGGTATTATGAATTCAAGAAGACATGTATTTCAAGACTTCGAGATTGTAAACGACATCGTCTTTGGGACAATCGATTAAGCTAGGGTGAGCTTTTATGTACCACCTAAAAATGTTTTGTTATTGATGAGGTGTAGATATGATCCTATGAAGATGGAAGCTCTCACGAATCAATTTTGGGAATCAAATATGGAGAAAAACAATGAGGAAAATGACGATGAAGATAGCGTGATTCCTGAAAATCTTCAGCAGAGAGAGAGAGAGAGAGAGAGAGAGAGAGAGAGAGAGAGAGAGAAATGTATTTTCTTTTTTCTTTTTCTTTTAATAAAAATATTTGAATAAATAATAAAAAAACTGAAAAAATAAAAAGAAATGGCAAAATGGTTATTATCAAAAAATTTAAAGTAAATTGGATCAAAGTAGCAAGAAAATGAAAACCTTTGGACCATGAGTGCTAGTCCAAACCTGTTTGGTTCTAGCAATTTCAACCTAACCACATGTACCATTCTTGCAATTTTGTCTACAATTTAAAAGCAGCCACGCTTCCTTGAAGCATGGGCTGATGCTTCATCCAGTTTGGATCTAGTTGATACATGTGAGCTGCCGCTTAATTCTTTTCTTTTTGTGCGTTAACCTCCCAGTGCCCAAAGACTCCTACCTTCATCATGATTCTTAAATTGGTCTGTTTACACTTTTTGGGCTTAAACGGGCTGCTTATTCCATGTTGGACAGCCTTCTGTCCAACTGTAATCAACGATAAAAAAAAGAATCAAATCGTCATCTAAATCCATTTATTTTCAGTGGGATCCAATATCAACAAGTTAGGAAGACGTTTGTGTCAATTTGACAACGTTTGCCTTTCTGATTGCTTATTTGAATAAATTGGCTTAATAATGTCAGATATCTGAAAATTCATTTATATCGTTTGTTTTTTTGTCGCTCATTCGGCCTTCGATGTGACTACTATCAGTACGTAAAATACCATCTTGTTTGTATAAATCTATATAAAATTCGTTTAAACGAGTAAAAATATTCAAAACAATAAATCTAATGATTTAATACAAAAAAATATTAAAGATGCTAAAACTAAGATCAATTGCATGCAAAAATTAATAAGAAAATCAAGTTCTCAATCATATTGCATAATATAAATTTAAAAGATGAAGGAAAAATGATGTCATTATAATGAAAATTAAAAGTGACCAATAATCGAAGTAGTGGGTACTAGTACGCCGAAATACATGACGAGTAGAGGGGAAATATATGACCGCATTGATAACCACAACTTACGTGTTGATTTTGTGGAACATATATTTAATACTTATTTAAATCATGTTGCTGACAATTCGTAGAACGATTTGTTTGAGGATACAAATGAGGATTCAAATATGTTTGAAGATGAATTTAGATGATGCTAAACGTGATGTACTATTTTAATATGTTTTAGTTTTATCTAAATTTTATTTATGTAGTTTTTATTTCGATTATGTTTTTTAATTAATGAGATAGTTTTCTTTTTATTAATTTTATATAATTAATAAGTTATATTTTCATATTTAATTAAGTGAAAAAGAAAAATAAATAAGATGGAGCGAAATATGACTATTTTCTATGATACGATGGGCAAGAAAAATAACATGATGAAAAAAAAAACGCTAAGATATTGAAAATATACACCTTAATCTATAAACGGATGAAATGAGAGACACTGATAAGATATACTTTAGAGTTTAGCCTAAATAGGTTGAATGATGAAATAAAACTATAGAAGAATAAAATAAGAAGAAATTTCATTTTTCCTAAGTCGAATTTACTCTTAACCAATTTAACTTTATAAATAGTTTAGAAAATAAAAAAGTAAATAAAAACGGAACCCTGCCTAAGTGGTTGACCCAACATGACCGATGGAAGCTAGTTAGAATCTTGAAAATAACTAACAAGGTTTTGAAAACCAAAGAATCTTCCTAACTTTCTCCTCCCATTTTCTTGTTGCATTCATTTTGTCCAAAGCTCGCCTTCACGTCACATCACAACATAGAAATTACCCCAACTTTTATTATATTATGTTGTCCTATACACATTTTGTATAATCTAATCCAATTTTAGATACCCATAAAAAATCTGTTATTATCTTATGATATTTTTCTTTTATATAATAATGAATTAATTTAAATGTGAAATAAAAAAAATGATTTAGCATATCAGACATCACGTATTTACAAAACAACCATATATAATAACTTATATAACCATGAGGTTTTAGTTTGCTGGTTTTATGAATAAAATTTCACGTATAATGTCCAAGATTCAAATTATGATACATATAAAATATTACAAGTAACATCATGTGAATTTATTCAAATAATACACGATTCACTATTATTTTTTTTTTATAACTTATACATAAATTATTTTAAGAAGATATTACAAATTAAAAAGTAAAATCCTCGAATAACATCGATTTAAAGTTGTACGTTCCTCAATACTTACTATAATTTCTTTTAGAACAAATTATAGAAATAATCCATATGATTTATCACAATTATACGTTTGGTCCTTAATTTTTGTTTTTCTTACACCGAGACGATCCTGTAATTGTTTTCTCTTGTGAAATTTGTCCTGACATATATAAAAAAAGACTATATTTTCCTTATTTATTTCTTTATCCATTTATTTATTTATTATTGATAAATAAACTAAATATCAAAAAATAAAAAATAAAATTCCTAAACCTAATCCCTTCCATCTCCCACCTTGGTTTTAGCCTTTTGGTGGAGGAAGTTTGGTAATTGCAAGTTACAAAAAAATTGAGTTGAGCTCTGATTAATCAGAGATCTGTGTTAATGGTGGTGCGTCACTTTGTGTTTTGTTTGATCCTCTTTACTTTGATGGTAGTTTTAGGAAGGTTGGTGATCAAAGTTACAAAAACTTCAAGATCCATCAAATTAAAGCATGTTCCAGATATGTTTTTGATTTAAGTATTTGATTTTGGTTTTAATATTTTTTGTTCAACTTCAATTCTACGTTTGATTTTGATACTGGTTTTATTAAAAAATATTTATAATGGTAAAATAGTCTTTTTTTTTTTTTTTTTTTATTATTATTTTTTTTAATTTTTATATATATATAACCGAGACCAACAGTGCAATAAAACATGTTAAAAAAATGTCAGGGACCAAATATAAAATTTTGACAAACCACAGGGACTGTTTTACTAATTTGTTCTTGCTTTTATAAATACGCCAACTTTGTAGACAAACTAAAATAACAGTCATGTACAGGTTTTTCGGTTATAGCATCTTTTTCTTCCTCTCTCTCGTCCAAGGTGTATTTCCCGCCAGAACCGTTCCTCCGACATCACCACCAGAATTAACAGTCAAAGACCTCTCAGGTAACGACACGTGGAAGAGCTTCTCCAAGTTCATGAACGCCGGCAAGGGTGCTAACTTCTCTGGCATGTCTGAGCTCAAGAAATACTTCCACCGATTTGGCTACATCGACGTCATCGACAACTTTACCGACACCTTCGACGAAACCCTTGAATCCGCCGTCTTAAACTACCAGAAAAAACTGGGGTTGCCGATCACTGGGAAGTTGGACTCCGACACTGTCACTCAGATCATGTCGCCGCGGTGTGGCGTCTCCGACAGAGACATTCCAAACCGGAAACACAAATTTCACATGATTAAACATTACGCGTTCTTTGCCGGTGAGCCGAGGTGGAGGAAACCGGCGAAGTCGGAGACAATGACACTAACGTACGCTTTTTCCGACACCCATATGATTGATTACATTAGTTACTCCGACATACAAGATGTTTTCCAGCGTTCTTTTTCGAGGTGGGCGTCTACGATCCCTGTGAGCTTCAATGAGGTAGACGATTACCGAAAAGCAGATATAAAAATAGCTTTTTATCAAGGGGATCACGGCGACGGAGTGTCGTTTGACGGCGTTTTAGGGGTGTTGGCGCACGCTTTCTCGCCGGAAAACGGTAGGCTCCATTTAGACAAAGCTGAAACATGGGCCGTTGATTTCAAATCGAGTAAATCAAATGTGGCTGTTGATTTGGAGTCGGTTGCTACCCATGAAATCGGGCACATACTCGGGTTGGCCCATTCGTCGGTTCAGGAGGCAATTATGTATCCGAGTTTGGGTCCGAGAACTAAAAAAGTGGAACTTAAAATTGATGATGTAAAGGGGATCCAGGAGCTATACGGGTCAAACCCGGATTTTAGGTATACCCCATCTATGGAATCAGATATTTCCTATGTTACCCGAACCCGGATAGGAAATTGGGTCAAGTGGGTGATTTCATTGGTGTTATTTGTGGGTTTTTTACTTTGATGACAAATTTAATTTATTCTTTTCTTCTTTTCCTAATTTTATAAATCATATTTAGAATCTTGAAAATAACTAACAGGGTTTTGAACCAAAGAATCTTCCTAGCTTTCTCCTCCCATTTTCTTGTTGCATTCATTCTGTCCAAACCTCGCCTTCATTTCAATTCACAACTTAGAATTACTCCAACTTTATATTTTATGTTGTCCTATACACATTTTGTATAATCTACCCAATTTTAGATACCCATAAAAAATCTATTATTATCGTATAATATATTTTTTAATATAATAATGTATTAATTTAAATTTGAAATAAAAATTTTGATTTAGCATATTAGACATCACGTATTTACCAAACAACCATATAATAACTTATATAACTATGAGGTTTTAGTTTGATGAGTGAATCCACATATAATATAATGTTCAAGGTTCAAATTGTGATACATATAAAATATTACGATTAAGATCATGTGAATTTACTCAAATAATACACGATTTACTATTATTTTATTATAACTTACACATAAATTATTTAGAGAAGATACTAAAAATTAAAAAGTAAAATCCTCGAATAACTTGTACATGTATTTAAAGTTGTACATTCCTCAATATTTACTATAATTGCTTTTATAAATACTCCAATTTTGTAGACAAACTAAAGCCATGTATAGGTTTTTCGTTTATAGCATGTTTTTCTTCCTCTCTCTCCTCCAATGTGTATTTCCCACCAGAATCGTTCCTCCGACATCACCACAAGAATTAACAGTCAAAGACCTCTCAGGTAACGACACGTGGAAGAGCTTCTCCAAGTTCATGAATGCCGGCAAGGGTGCTAACTTCTCCGGCATGTCTGAGCTCAAGAAATACTTCCACCGATTTGGCTACATCGACGTCATCAACAACTTTACTGACACCTTCGACGAAACCCTTGAAACCGCCGTCTTAAACTACCAGAAAAAACTGGGGTTGCCGATCACTGGGAAATTGGACTTCAACACTGTGACTCAGATCATGTCGCCGCGGTGTGGCGTCTCCGGCGGAGACATTCCAAACCGGAAACATAAATTCCACATGAGTAAGCATTACGCGTTCTTTCCCGGTGAGCCGAGGTGGAGAAAACTGGCGAAGTCGGAGATAATGACGCTAACGTACGCTTTTTCCGACACTCATATGATTGATTATATTAGTTACTCTGACATACGAGATGTTTTCCAGCGTTCTTTTTCAAGGTGGGCGTCTACGATTCCTGTGAGCTTCAAGGAAGTAGACGATTACCGAAAAGCAGATATAAAAATAGCTTTTTATGAAGGGGATCACGGCGACGGAATGGCGTTTGACGGCGTTTTAGGGGTGCTGGCTCACGCTTTCTCGCCGGAAAACGGTAGGCTCCATTTAGACAAAGCTGAAACGTGGGCCGTTGATTTCAAATCAAGTAAATCAAATGTGGCCGTTGATTTGGAGTCAGTTGCGACTCATGAAATCGGGCATATACTTGGGTTGGCCCATTCGTCGGTTCAGGAGGCGATTATGTACCCGAGTTTGGGTCCGAGAACTAAAAAAGTGGATCTTAAAATTGATGATGTAAAGGGGATCCAGGAGCTATACGGGTCAAACCCGGATTTTAGGTATACTCCATCCATGGAATCGGATATTTCGAATGTTACCCGAACCTGGATAGGAAATTGGATCAAGTGGGTGATTTCATTGGTGTTGCTTGTGGATTTTTTACTTTGACGACAAATTTAATTCATTTTTTTTTCCTAATTTTATAAAACATATTTAAATATTTTATTGTTTTGGACAAGATAACTTTATAAAATAGATTTATGGAAAGGATGTATGTTTTTTTGTCACCTTATCGCCTTACCATAGAACTAGTGTGCATCAAATAAATATATAGAAATATAAAGATTTTAATTTTTCAATAAAGTGTAGATATGTAAAGATTTTAATTTTTCAAAAATGTCTGCTTGACGATTGAAAAGTGAAAACAACTTTTTATTTGTAAATAAACTTTTTTTTTTTCAAATTGATGGCGGTTTATAACTTTATTACTATAACTTTTCATTCTAAATTTTCATTTCGTTATTTAAATAAAACATGTTATATACGTTTTCACGACATAATCTAAAAAACATGTAAAATAACAACAAATAATGAAGATGATATGAACCAAACCATCATAGGCTGAAAATCTGTAATGGAAATCTGTAATGAATGATTGAAAATAATTGTAGTTGCATAATAACTATCTATCATCATCATCCATCAAGGTTCGTTAGACACCATTATGGCCCATATCATTTCTTCTATATTATATCGCGAGAACCAACTCTCATAAGGTGAAGGACACTTTATCATCCCTCGGATAACTAACAAGAGCCACAACTCTCAACATCTTCGTTGCCTAAATCAACAATTCCACATGCCCACCCACCCTTTATGTCATTTTGTATAATATAGGAGCGGATGTTCAATATTTTATTTAGGGCTGGAAATATATTATGTATAAAAATCGATGAGTAGGGAGGATCACAGCTAAAATTTTAAGGACCCTCGACATCACATGTGTAACTTAGTTGTGCTGAAAAACAAAATAATATGCGCGCAAGGAAACCGACAAATAATATTGAGAATTATATGTTGATTAGTTGCGAATAATAGATTTAATTATTATGAATATGTTTACCAATGGGGTATAACGAATGGCATAACGACTTTTAAGGAACATATGCCCTAGTCGTTAAACACCGAACTGGCATAACGACTTTTGAGGAAAGGAAAGGACAAAGAGAAAGTACAAAATGACGTCTAAACAGTAACGACAATATCTCGAGACTATGAAGATACAACCTGTACGAGGATACGTGGTCAAGAGATCTCGTTACAGCCACAAGACAAATGTATAACAGTATGCATAGTACCAATTTTAACCAAAGAGTATTTTGGGTAATTTGATATTAATTATAAGTTGGGCAATAATTTGAATAATAGGTGTCGGGTAGAGCCAATTTCGGAGCAGAGATTTATTCAGATTTTGTTCGGACTGAGAGATGAGTTTACCTCGCTGTATCCGTGAGTCAAAGGCACCAATATCGGCCCACTAGATTATGTATCCTGGTTATAAGATAATACTATGTTAGTATATGATTGATTAGTAGATATGTATTTGTTGGTTCTGTGTTTATGTTTATCTGTTACATATGTCGACATATTATGGTGCGGTTGAGGCGGTCCTTCTTTGTGTTGCCCAAGGCGGTCCGAACAGTGTAACAACCCGTTATTTTTCATGTCAATAAAGGCCAAACCCTTTTAAATAAAAGTTCAAAACTTTATTTATTTTGTCAAGTTTATGAGTGTTGGAGCATGTTTTAAATTATATAAATAATGTTTATATAAGAATTTTTATTCTAGGATAAAAATACACTTAAAAATCAAAAACTTGTCTTTTGGAACCGAGAAACCTCGGATCGGAAACTTCCCCCACTGAAATCAGACCTTGGACCGCAAACCCTTCTTCGGCTGAGAACCCCCCCCCCCCCCCTTTTCTGGCTGAAAACCCAACATATGTGTGTATATATATATATATATATATATATATATATATATATATATATATATATATATATATATATATATATATATATATATATATGTTTTCATCCGATAACTTAAACCATTTCTCACTTTTCACTCGAAATACACTCCCAAATTGGTCTCAAGTATCATCCAAGAACATTCATACTTTAAAGAAAAGTCCTTCAAATCTTCATAATTTTCACCAAGAACACCAAGAACAATCTTCAAATCTTCAAGCTGGCCGAAAACACTTAGGACCGAGAACACCTTAGCACCGAGAACCAGGTTCTCGGTTGAGGATTTAGGACCGAAATCAAGGATTTCAGTGGAGGCTAAACCAATATGCCTCACTACATACAATTCTTGGTAATTTTTGTAAGAAATTCCTTACATAAATTAAGTGTTGTCTAACACTTCAATTAATTGTCTCATTAATTTAAATACAATTACATGTTTAAATAATATTAGGATACCGTTCTTTCACATACGCTAGCCGAGGATTATCTCTACAGTTCCGGTATCCATACTCTAACACGCACTAGAGGTGAGTTCATACCCCTACATTTTCACTGTTTTCAATGTTTTTAGGGGGGGGGGGGATACAAGTAAACACAAGGATTCTTGTGATTTCAAGACCATTTTGCAATTGATTCAAACCGATTTATCACTATATTTTATAAAAATATATGTTTATATATTGTTGACCATTTTGTAACATGTCGAGCAAAAGGGGTGTTTATCACAAGTTTTCTGACTACTAATGTTTACATACAGTTAAATTTCAAAGGTTTTCAGTACATTACATAACATTACATTTAAACTATAGTTGGTATAGTTTGTGGACTACTACACTATTTTACTAAGTACAAGAACCGATACAAGAACATACATTCAAACTATAATATGTATAGTTTGGGAAACACTACTCTATTTTACAAATTCAAGAACACTATTCGAAAACAATTATATAAACTACAGTTGGTATAGTTTATGAAACACTACTCTATTACATTGATTCAAGGATACACTACTAAATAATTATTTAAGTATAATTATTTTACATTACAAAGTACTCTTATATGAGTTAATACATATAATTTTCAAGTATAAGAGAACACTACAACATTACACATAAACTAATTAATACATGGTTGTGAGGCACTACTTCAATTGTACCCATAGGGATACAGGTCTAAGTCCTATACAGTATAACCAGAGCCTCGTGGAGGGGGAACGTGACTTTGTGTATAGATATATACGGGATTGACAACCCCACATCTAAATTTTTAGCTATAGTTAGGTTGGCTGGCATGGGGTGACAATCGTTATAACATTCTGACGCCTGAAGAACGTCGTAGAGACCACTAGTCAGATTAGCATGGTTATATGAAACTCACAACATTATTAACTAAAACATTTGTTTACAGGATTAACACTACTTCAATGGGTTTTTATTTTAATTAAGAAACTATAGTACACTACTATACATTACATCCGGTGGTATCTAGGCATACATACAAAGAGTTTTCAAACAGTACACTACTATACATTACAACTGGTGGTATCCAGGCATACATACAAAGGGTTTTCAAACAGTACACTACTATACATTACAACTGATGGTATCCAGGCATACATATAAAGATTTTCATACAAATAGTACACTACAATACATTACTACTGGGTGGTATCCAGGTTTTTCATACAAAGGTTTCATAACAAACACTACTATGATACACTATTTTCCTAATATAGGGTACATTAGTACTACATATAGTTTAGGGAAAACATACATTATATGGTTTTATTCACTAATAAGACTACATACACTACTACAGAGTACAACAATAACATACATTTTGGTCGTAAGGTCTAAGGCTACATTACATACATTACAGAAAATATTGGATTTTCTGGAGAAACATACTATCATTTTCAAGGAACAAAGACAAGTTTTTCATCACTAAAACATACTTATGAACTCACCAACTTAAATGTTGATACACTTTAGAAACCACTTGTATTTTCCGGGAACCGGTAGACAGGTACACCCACAGGTTTTGAGAAGACGGAGCTTTTAGAGTCGCATCTTTTATACTTTTTTTTTTTATACATTTTTGATGTCATACAAACTATGTATCGAATAGATGTAAAGACTTTACCTATCAATGTAATGGTTGTGTTTGCTTTGATTACTATTATACAATTGTTGTGATACTGTACATGATGTCCTCCACTCTGAACGTTTCTATCGTTCCATTTTGGGGGTGTGACAGATAGGTTGTAGGCCCTTCGAGGCGGTCCAATCAGGCCGAAGGCCCGTAGAGCGGTCCATATAGGTTGTAGGCAGTATGAGGCGGTCCAGTCAAGCTGAAGGCTCATATGTCATATCTTCATGCTTTGTTTGTTATGTTGTGTGTTGGTACTTGTGAGGAACTCACTAAGCTTTGGCTTACAATTTTAGTTTATTGTTTCAGGTACTTCAGAGGATCGTGGGAACGAAGGCCTGATCATGCACGATCCACTTATATTCATGATATTGACTTTTAGGACACTTTGACATGATTTTACTTTTGAAACAATGGTTCTTTTGTAAACAATGATGGTTAATGGTTGTTTTTGAAAAGTTTTAAATTTTTATGATTTTTAGGATATTACATTTTGACTGATCACGACATGGTGATGGAATCACCACAACGTGACATTAAATGCATGACGCGTATCTCATTTTGGTATTCATGTCGTGAGCACTGAGTGGTCACAACTTAATGACGGTTGGAGGTTAAACACTAATTTTTTGAGCTCAAGGCCCTATTTAAAGGATGTGATGGCTAAGGTTTCCTCCAACCTCAACCTCCATCACCTCCTAAAGTGTTCTTGAGCAACTGTAGCCTCCTTGCAAGTTTTGGAACTCATTTTGGTGTTTTTGTGGTCTTGGAAGGAAGATGAAGGAACTATTTTGCATATATCAAGTAAATTACTCAGCCTTACTATTTGTGTGCATATTATGGACCATTTATGAGTTCTCAAGTTCCCTTCTTGGTTATGTCTTCTTGCTAGATCTAAATTATTTTGGTATATTTTGGTCCATATTTGAGTTGTGGATATAAAGTTTGCAACTTTATGGATTACCTTAGTCCTTTGGTTGTTATATC